ATTTCCCCACTCTGTACTCACTCACCATAATGGTGCCATGGCTTCTGGGTGAGACCTGCCCAATTCAGCCACAGGCGTGGCGCACAGGTATTGCCTTTCTTCTCTCATGTGCCCGGACCTAGAAACCACAGGCGGCACTTGGTTTGACGGTGCCTGACTGCCCAACTGCCCATCACCAATCAGCATGTGGTTGATTGTGCCTGGCTCAGGCCTGGAAAGCTATTGTTCTTTTGAGATGGGGTCTATTATGTAATCATGGCTTGTCTAGAACTCACTATGCAAACTGTGGTAGCCTTGAACTCATAGAGATCTGCCTGCTTCTTCCAAATAAGTAAGATCACAGGCATGTACCACTACAGTGGACTTCTGAGGCCAATGCTTTTAAGTGAACTCAGGTTCTTTTCAAGAGCACCAAGAGCTCGTAGTCAGTAAGGTGTCTCTGAGATCCCCGTCTCCTTTGAGTAAGGGAACATGCTGCTTTCAGCATCTTTCTGTCTTTGACCCAAACATGTTAGGACTTTAGCTGCGTTGGTAGAATGCTTACCTAGCCTACACAAAGCTGTGCATCTGTTCCTAGCAGCGTAGCAGCTAGACTGTGTTCAGTTCCAAAACCCAGGAGAGCTGGAAGCAGGAAGACCAGAGGTTTAAGGTGGCCTTTGGCTAGAGCAAGTTTGAGGATGGCCTGCACTACAGAAATAAAGACAGTTTGATAATTGCTTTTCTAACGTTTGGTCTACATTCTGCATTTCCTAGATGTTATAGGCTAATGCTGTTATTTTTGAAAGCATTACATATAGTTTTTAAATCATTTCATTTTAAAATAAATGATTTAAAGTTCTTTTTTTCTTTTAATTTGTATTTCATATGCTACTTTCTTTCTTATCAGTCTTCCTTGTTATAAGCTTCAAAGAAACACAGATTTGGGGTGTGATTCAGTGGTAGAATGCTTGCCTAGAATGCACAGGGCCTTGGTTTCATCTTTAGCACTTGAAAACCAAACCACACCACAGATGTTCTCATTTAGTTAGGCTCCTAAGAAACTCTTGCACTTAGAACCTCCTTTGTGAAATTTTTTTTTATTACATTCACACCCACACAGTTTAATGGTTAAAAAAAAGAAAGAAAGAAAAACAACAACCAAATCTGTTACTTTAGAAAAACGAATGCAGTGCTTTTTTTCCTGCAGCGATATTGGCGCCACAGACTGATTGATTGCTCAGTGGTGTCACACCTAAGCAGTAGGTGCCTCCTGTGGTGATGCAGCTTCTCTGCACTAATTCCCGTCAGGCGAAAACACACTCGGGCAGGGAAGGCACAAAGCACATTCACTCCTCAAATCCCACCCCTCTCTTCTGTGCCACCTCTTGGGCAGCCTTCCAGAGAAGCGTGATTGATCTGATTCAAGGTTTCCTGAGGAGTCCAACTCATGTCAACGTCATTTGGACGTAACTACCCATTTCTACTTTCTGTGTGGGTCTCTTGCACTTTCTAGACTCTAGGAGTTAATGAAGGCCAACAGCAGCTAGAAGCCCAAGACCAGCAAGGAACATATACATAAAAATTGTTTCTCCATCTAACCTGTCCTTTCTTTCAATAACTGTAACTGTCTGATTGAAGACTGCATCTTGAAAAACTCTGCCATTCAAATCTTTGTAATTCAGATTGATGACCAGACCAAAAGGCTGTCCCCCCATGGGTTCTGCAGGAATGAAGGAATACTCAAAAGTCGCCTGTCTCTGCGGTGCACTGTAGTGTTCAGAGGAAGAGCTGTGAAATTCTGGATGTATAACTGGCTTTACAAACGAGAACAGAGGGTTTATTTTGTTGAATCGATGGATGCTTCATTTCTTTATCCTCAGGACTACCAGTTTTACACCCAGACACCAGCTATCAGAGTTAAATACCAATACGTAGTCAGGTAATGGTTAGGATATTTATTGGGGCGGGGGGGGGTGGTGCCTTACTTACTGTGTGCCTGGCCAACCGGCAGGAAAGCAGAGCAAGCAGAAAGTGGCAGGGAAAAGAGAGGGGGCTTTTCCACGCCCTAGGGGGCGTGGCCAGGTGCACCTGTAGCCAGCCCCAGGAGGCGTGGTCAGAGACCCCTACATACCAGGAACTTCACGACACTGTTTGCTGGAAAATCTTCTCCTTTTACAAATAAGATGGTTGTGTCTGCACACGGTGAGGCTTCTGGTTCACCAGACACGGCTTCTTAATCTTCTGCCAAACCCATGGGTTCATCTTCTACTTCAGCTTCACCACCTTCATCTTCAGTTATCGAATCTTCTACTGTTTCTTCATCATCTGTAAGATCTTGAGCCACTGCTAATGATCCTGTGGGGGCACCGTGGGGCTTTTTTTTTTTTAATTGTTTTTTGAGATGGAGTTTCTCTGTGTAGCTTTGGAGGCTGTCCTGGAACTCTCTCTGGAGACCAGGCTGGCCTCGAACCCACAGAGATCCGCCTGCCTCTGCCTCCTGAGTCCTGGGATTAAAGGTGTGCCGCCAACACCTGGCTCTTTTCAGAATTATTAATTCTATTTTTTTTTAAGGATTTATTGACTTACATATTTTATGTATATGGACACTTGGTCTACATGTACACCTGCTCACCAGAAGAGGCCATCAGACCCCATTATAGACAGTTATGAGCTACCATGTGGGTGCTGGGAGTTGATCTCAGACCTCTGAAAGTATAGCCAATGCTCTTAACTATTGAGCCATCTCTCCGGTCCTCCTGTCTTCATGTTTGTTGTTTCTTTGAGACAGGGTTTCTCTGTGTATTGATCTTGGGCTCTGTAGACCAGGCTGGCCTTGAACTCTGACTTTTGAGTGCTGCTATTCAAGGCATGTTCCACCACCGCCTGACTTTAGGGGAGTTTTTAAAAACATGGTTTCATTGTGTAGCCAAGCTGTCCTTGAGTTATAAGCCTCCTGTCTTAGCCCTCGTAAGTACTAGGATTGCAGGTGTGCACCTTCTTGTTTTCACCCTCCTATTTTTAGAACTAAGAGGATATATATAGTTCCATAAGGTGTTTGAGGTTTGTTTTCATTTTGTGGCACATTTCTTTAGCACTGTGGGTATCAGTGGTATCAGAAAGATTTCATAATCAATCATTAGGGAACCCTAAAATAGCACAGACATTCTAGAGCAGGCAGAAGATGGGGCTGTGGCTGCTGTGACTTAAGCTTTGTGAGGTGTAATAGGTCTTGGCTGGAGCTCCTTATAGTCAGAAAAGCATTTGGAAAGTCCCTGGAAATGCTTTGGTAGGTTATTCTGCTCATGGCTGCCCAGGAAATAGAAGTGGACATATTCGGATGGAAACAGTGGCTAACATCAACTTAAAAACAAGCTGTTAGGCTTGAGTGTGGCAGCGCACACCTTTAATCCCATCACTCTGGAGCCAGAGGCAGTGGATCCCTGAGCACAAGGCCAGCCTGGGCTACACAGTGAGTTTCAGCACAGCCCAGGCTACACAGAAATAGCCCATCTCGCAAAACCAAAGCCAAAAGGAAAACCCAAGCGGTCAGTGTTGGAAAGTAGTCATGACCTGGCTAGCTGAATCCAAGCCTACTAGAACAGTCCAGCTACAGGCTTCTGTGTCAGAAAGGGAAGTGGATGCCCTATTGCAGCAGAGTGAGCCCTTGGTGAGAGTCTTCATCGCCAGAGCCCCTTGTCTGCCTGCCTCTGTTGTGCTCTGTGGTTTATTCCCTCTTCAAAATACCTACTGTCACCAGGTGGTGGTGGCACATGCCTTTAATCCCAGCACTTGGGAGACAGAGGCAGGTGGATCTCTGTGACTTCGAGACCAGCCTAGTCTACAAGAGCTAGTTCCAGGACAGCCTCCAAAGCCACAGAGAAACCCTGTCTCAAAAAACAAAAAGCCTACCATCTGCCTTGCTGTACTGCTCTGTCTCCTCCAGAGGCATCCATCCACTCCAGGCGAGGGACTTGGTGGTTTGGGGGTGTGGGTTACAAAACAACAACAGATGAACACCGTTGTCACCTGAGGCAGGGATTGGTTGAGATTTTGGGTATGCGACTGTTTGGCACCCAGAGCTTACTGAGAATCACCCAGTGGCATCATAAATTACCAGTTTTGGTTGTGCCACGGACTTAGCCAGTCTGGTTGCATGTGGCCTGTGGGCTGCTGATTGGACATTGGAAGCCTGGCTGGTTTGCTTATCTTCTCTTGGTATGTTTTGTTTGACGTTTCTTCTGGAATGGAGAATCTTACCTTCTTAATGTGATATCTGGGCCCTTTCTCGTTGGGGGATGGATGGTACCACCCTTCCAGGTACATTCTAAACGTCTTAGGGCTGGGACCACATGTTGTTGTTACTGCCCTCTCTCACTTTGTCATTACTCCTGTGCCCCTCGCCCCCCACCAAATAGTACTCTTGATGAAGAAATTGGAGTAAAAGAAGAAAGTGGTAGAGTTGATAAGAGTACTTGCCTGGCATGCATGGTCCCTGGGTGTGGTCTTCAGGTGGCACACACTCATAATCTTAGCCCTCAGGGGAGTGAAGAGGGCAGCCAGGGCAACATGGAGAAATCCCCCTTCAAACAATAGGTGTTGTAGGAGATAGAATAAGGAGGCTGCGGTCAGGGGGACGAGAGATTAAGGACACTTTTGTGTAAGCGTGTGTGGCTGGAACAGAGTTAGCAATAATAAGTGAGTGGCCTCCTTTTAAGACAGCTCTCTGGGGCTGGAGAGATGGCTCACCAGTTAAAGAGTACTGGCTGTTCTTGTAGAGGATCCAGGTTTGATTCCAAGTACCCACACTGTGGCTAACAACCATCTCTAGCTCTGGTTTCAGAATGTCCATCTGATAATGTCCATCTGTGGATGCACACACTCTTAGTCATACATACATACCCATAAATAAATATTAAAAGAATAAGATGTCTCTCTCATCTGACTGGAGTGAATTTCTTCACTTGATGAATCTGAGAAGGTGTCAGAGGAACTGTGTTAACCTTGTGTTCTCTTCACTGCAGGAGGCTGAATAGTACCCAAGGGGAAATTCGAGTTGGTCCCAGCCATCAGGTAAACTACATTTTACAAACTTACTAGCTTTTTATTTTCTGTGTTTCTGCTTTATCTTTATTCTTGGGGGCTGGAGAGATGGCTCAGTGGTTAATAGTACCAGCTGTTGTTCCAGAGGTCCTGGGTTCAATTTCCAGCACCTGCACGGCAGCTCACAATTGTCTGTAGCTCCAGTTCCAGGGTATCTGACACACTTAATACAGACATACATGCAGGAAAAACACCAATGTACATGAAATAAAAATAATAAATTATTTATCTTTATTCTTCTGCGTAGCATCTTAGAGTGGTTATTGATGAGAATTCTCTAATCCTCCTTAAATAGAATTAAAGGTTCTGTAGGGTACTGTTGTGTGTGTGTGTGTGTGTGTGTGTGTGTGTGTGTTTGTATGAGAGAGTGCCTGTGGCCTGTGGTGTGTGTGTCTGTGGCGTGTGTGTGCATGCCTATGTGTGTATGAGAGAGTGCCTGTGGGGTGTGGGTGTGTGTGTGGGTGTGGTGGGTGTGTGTGTCTGTGGCAGGTGTGTGTGCATGCCTATGTGTGTATGAGAGAGTGCCTGTGGGGTGTGGGGTGTGGGTGTGGGTGTCTGTGGCAGGTGTGTGTGCATGCCTATGTGTGTATGAGAGAGTACCTGTGGGTGTGTGTGGGGGTATGTGTGTGTCTGTGGCAGGTGTGTGTGCATGCCTATGTGTGTATGAGAGAGTGCCTGTGGGGTGTGGGGTGTGGGTGTGGGTGTCTGTGGCAGGTGTGTGTGCATGCCTATGTGTGCGAAACCACTGGAGAATTTCAGGTGTTCTGCTTTATCATCCCCCCTTGTTTCTTGGAGACAGCCTTTTCTTTCTCTGCTGTTGGAGCTAGGCTGGTGGCCATCAGGCTTCAGCATTTCTATCATCCTGTCCCCCACAGCTGGCTTTTCGTGTGGCTTCTGGGCTCTGGAGTAAGGTCTTTGTGGGTCTGCAGTGAGTGTGTTCTTACCCACTGTGCCATCTCCCAGCCTGAAGTTTTTGATTTTGTTGATTTTTGAGACAGTGTCTTGATCTGTAGCCAAGACTGGCTTTAAACCTGTTACAGAGCACAGGCTGGGCTTGAACTTTTACCCTCCTGCCTCAGTCTCCTCCGTGCTAAGGCTATAGGCATGTTCACTGACTTCAGAGGTCTCTCCTTTTGCCCAGACCACCATGCATTAAAAGGCACAAAAGCAACTGTAGGAAGATGGGGGCAGTGGGTAGGAGAGAAAAAGAAAAAGGAAATTTGAAAAAAATGACTAATTATATCACTCAGGAGGCAGAAGCAGGAGGATCTCTGTGGGTTGGAGGCCAACCTGGTCTCCAGAGGGAGTTAGGACAGCCAGGGATACATAGCTAGACTGTGTCTCAAACAACAACAAAAACAGCAAAAAATAAAAACAGCAGACCTACAGTTTGCCCGTGTTAGAGGGTATAGAGCAGTTGTTATTGTGCAACCATCACAGCTGCCCATTTCCAGAACTTCTCTAATCATGTGATGCTGAAACGCTGTATCATTGAACAGTAACCCTTTACTCCCGGGCTGAGTTTTTGACTCTTCATCATAGATTTGAAATCATACAATATTCATCTTTTATGAAGGACAAACTTCATACTGGAATCCTCTCTGGGTCCATCCATGTTGTTTAAGGCTGAATAATTCATTATGTGTATGTGTCACTGTTTATCAAGTCATCTATTGATAGATATTTAGTTACTGCATACTTTAATTCAAGGATATTTTAGGGGCCTGGAGAACTGGGTTCATAGTTGAGAGCACTTACTGCTCTTCCAGGGGACTCAGGTTCAATTTCTGACACCCTCATATTGGCTAGCAACCATTTGTAATTCTAGTTCCAGGGGATCTGGTGCTGTCTTCTGGCTTCTGTGGGCACCAGGCTCACATGTGGTGCACATGCATATATACATACAAAAATAAAGACAAGGTTTCTCTGTATTGCTTTGGGGCTGTCCTGGAACTCTCTTTGTAGACCAGGCTGACCTCGAACTCACAGAGATCCACCTGCCTCTGCCTCCCGAGTGCTGGGTTTAAAGGCGTGCACCACCAACATCCAGCTTAAACAATCTTTTTTAAAAAGAAGGCTGAGGGGGTTGGAGAGATGGTTCAGCGGTTAAGAGCACTGACTGCTCTTCCAGAGGTCCTGAGTTCAATTCCCAGCAACCACATGGTGGCTCACAACCATCTGTAATGAGATCTGGTGCCCTCTTATGGCCTGTAGGCGTAATACTGTATACATACTAATAAATCTTAAAAATAAAAGAAAAAGAAAAAGAAGGCAAGACTGTTGCTCAGTGGTGCAGTGCTGACCCTGTGTGTGTGAGGCTCTAGTTTCCACTCCTATCACCACTATAAGGAAGGAGAAAGAAAAATATTCTTCTAAACACATTTCCTTCAGAAGGTCAGGATGGCTGTTGCTCTTCAGCTGGACCTTCTGTGGTGAGGCGTGCCCTCTGGCATCTGTTCAGTGTGCTGAATTCCTCTACTTTTGACTAGTTAGACAGCTCTGGTGGGGAGGCACCCTGGCTGCCATAGTTGTTCACACCTCCTGCTGGGCTGTCCTAGCCAGCCAGCTTGGGCTGTCCTGGGCATTGCTGACATTCTGCAGGTGCTTGTCTGTCTGTCCTTCACAGAGAGCTGCTCTCAAGGTTCCTGACATGCACAAGGGCCAGGTCATGTGTCCATTGCTAAAGGCTGAGAGAAATGGGCTTAACATGATAATCCTGGGTGTCACTTGAGTGAATGTGTGTTGGGGAGCCAGCCAATATGTTTGATAGGCAAAGGCACAAATTACAGGTCATAACAGTCTTTATGTGGGCATAAAGGGTTTAGATGTCCCTGTTTTTTTTTTTTTTTTTTTTTTTTTTTTTTTTTTTTTTTTTCTTTTTCTGTAGATTTTGAGCGTTTTTATGTGACATGTGCATCTCTTTCGGGACTTATTTTACCTCTTCGATGAGAGAAGAGTAAAAACTTAAAGGCATATTATCAAAATGCAGACCAACCAGGCTTATAGTTTCTAGACGGTTCTCATTTTATGATAAAGGCAGAAATACACAGTAGCCAGGCAACCCCTTCACTTCTGTCTTCCTGGAATGGGCTGTTAGGTGAGCCTGACCAGGACTGCTCTAACTCTGGCCTGTGGATTCTCGGGGTGGCTTTCACAGTGATGGGAGAGGACCAGGGCCTTGCACACACTAAGTAGGATCTCTACCTGTGACCTGCACTACGCTGTTCTGGCTTTGGAGTTTCTGTGGTTTTGTTTTTTGGTTGGTTGGTTGGTTGGTTGGTTTTGGTTGTTCTGTTTGTTGTTTTGAGATACATTTTTTGTTATTGTTAGTATTTGAGACAGGGTCTCACTATAGAGCCCTGGCCAGTCTGGAACTCAGTATGTAGACGAGGTTCGTCTCAAACTCACAGAGATCTGCCTTACCCTTCTTTCCAAATGTGGGGTTCAGGTATGCATCACCATGCCCTTCTTTTTTTTTATTACATTTTTAATTACATGTTTACATATGTACCTGAGTGTGGGTAAATGTGCATGAGTGCAGGTGTTTGTGGAGGCCAGAAGAAGGCCTGAGATCCCCTGGAATTGTAGTTATGGGCTGTCCAGCATGGGTTCTGGGTACCAGGCTTGGGTAGTATGTACTCCTAACCATTGAATTATCTATCTCTCCACCCCTTGTTTTATTTGTTACTTTGTTTTAATGAAGTGTTACTGTGTAGCTCAGTGCCTTCTGAGTGCTGAAAATTTCAGGCATGTACTCTAATCATCCTTGGGCTATGATTTGTTTGTTTGTAGTTACCTATTTAATTTCAGTGTGTGTGGGGGTATCTGTGTTCCTCAGAGGACAACTTGCTAGAATAGATTTTTCTCTTACTGTGTAGGTCCCCAGGGTCAAACCGAGGCTGCAAGCAGGGTGCAGGCCTGGCAGCAAGCCCCTTGACTCACTGAGCCATCCCATGACCTCTAGCTGTGTTTTAAATCAAGGGTCCAGTGTTTGCCTGGTGTTGCGCAGCCACACTCCTATTTTCTTTCTTGCCCTGGGCTGTACTTTCCTACCCATTTCCTTTGCCATAGTTTGTTTCCAGGGTTGCAGGATCTTCATACTGGATTTTGTCTTGACACTTATTTTCTACTCTAACAAAAAGGTAACATCAGGGGAGGATGCACCTAGATCCCAGAAAGAATCAGGTTTGCTAGACTTGAATTTTGTACAGTTTCATTTAAATCAAATGCTCATTTAATATCAGATCTGGAAATTATTTTAAAAGTCAAGTTTTGGAGTAGCAAAATCTGAATTACATTCTTAAAGTGTTTAGCTGTTTTCTTAGGGAAGATAGTAACACAAAAGTGGGAACAGAAGATAGTTCTCAGTGTTACTGAGTTTTGTAGAGTCCTAGTAAGATTTGTTTTGTCTGCTCCCCCAGGATGCTTCCTACCTGTGGTAATTGAAATGAATCAATACATCATTTTAATTACATATAGCACAATGAAAAAGAAGCCCTCTTATAAAAGACACAACTATAGTTTTTCATACCAAGCTAAAATCAGTAATATCTTGGGGTTTCGAAATGGCTTAGTGGTCACTTGCAATTTGAATAGTGAGATGGCTCAAACATGGCAATCTAAGTGTGATCCAACCACCTACATAGTAGAAGAGAACTTGACTCCTGCATGTTTACCCGACTTCTACATGCACACTTTGGTACACCCCCCCTTTCTCTCCCTCCCTCCCTCCCTCCCTCCCTCCCTCCCTACAAGAAAGTCTGTCAACATTCTAAATCAGTGTTCATTCTAATATAGGTCCAGCCTTACTCCTAGAGCATAACAGTTTATTACATAATCATCACTCTGAGATCAAATACCTCAAAGCAATTAACGTTTCCAAAGTTGGTAATTCATTTAAAGTATATATATATCTAGTAACAAAAATAGACACTTTTAATTTAGTCTAAACTGTTTTAAAAACATACCCAAAGCCAGGCAGTGGTGGCACACGCCTTTAGTCCCAGCACTCAGGAGGCAGAGGCAGGAAGAACTATGTGAGTTGGAGACCAGCCTGGTCTACAAGAGTGAGTTCAAGGACAGCCTTCAAAGCCATAGAGAAACCCTGTCTCGAAAAACCAATAAATAAATAAATGGATGAGTAAACAAAAACAAGACACTTGTTCTGCTATCTAGAATGCCAAGTGAGTGTAGCAGCCCACCTGTAATTCCAGTGGAAGAATGCAGAGATAAGGTTCCCAGAGCAAACTTGTTAGCAAGACTCATTATAGTGGTGAGCTCTGGGTTTGATTGAGACCCAGCCTCAGATAGTAAAATCTGAGAGGAATTGGGGGTGATTTCCTGCATCAACCTCAGGCTCTGCGTGTTCTCCTACCCACTCTAATGTGTCTGCCCACTCACGTGCAGGAAATGCTTACATACATAGATGCACACCACACATACAAACTAGGTAAAGAAAAAAGCAGGAATTCCCTTTTTAAACCATTTGCTTTCCCTTTAGATTGTATGTGCATGCTTGTGTCTGTGGAGGCGTGTAAACGTGGGTGTAGTTGCCCAAGGAGAGCAGAAGAGACCATTGGACCCCCCTGGAGCTGGAGTTAGTTAACTGTGTGCTGCCCGATGTGGGTGGTGGGGACTGAACTCTGAGCCCACTCTGGAGCCCCAAATCAGTAATCTCAAACACTTCTTCCCGCATGCCCCTCCCTCCCCTCTGACCCTGTTTGTGTGTCTGTAGGTGTAAAACTGTATCCGTAAGCTCATTCTGATACTTGCAACTTCAATTAAAACTTCAACATTTGTATTCATCTGCTCCTCTGCTTTCATCTGAGTCTGTATCTTTCTCCATGTTTGATTGACATGAACCTAATTACTTTATCCCTGTATTGTATAGCCCAGAATAACAATATTCACAGTGCCGTGGACTGTTGGAATGTTTTTACTTTGGTGCTGGGGTTTAGTCCAGGCCCTCGCATGTGTATTACACATACTCACTCTTTAGTTATCCCCGTTGCTTGGAAGAGGTGTACTGTTGAATTGTGTCTTACCTTGTGACTGTCCCAGGAGGAATGTGCGGGTAAACTCATGTTTTAGCATTACTGAGTAGAACCAATTCAACTGTTGTTGTTGTTCTTTCCCAGTTACTTTATTCCCTCTCCCTTTACATAAATGGCAGATAATGGACACTTTCTGGGCCTCCCTCCTTTCTGTTTGCTTTCAGAGCTGGTCTGTAGTCTGAGGTTGCCCCCTCCCCCTGCCCCCTCCCCGTACACCCCTTGTTGCTTGTGTGTGATACAGCATTTCTGAGCTGCTCATTAAAATGTTAGGGTGAATACTAAGTGTGAAAGATCATTATTTTGCTTAGAGTGGCCACATACCTGTAATGCCATCATGTGGCAGGTAGAGGCAAGAGAATTGTGTCTGGACTGCATAGCAAGACCCTGCCTCCAAACCAGCCAGCCAGCCAGCCAATTGTTTCCTTGTTTGGGGAAAGTGAGAGTGGCCTGGAGGGCAGAGGTGTAGCCTGCCGGCAGACCAGACAGACATAGGGTATTGTGTTTTGTCACAGAACGGCCTTACAACTTGAATATCCTGCATTTGAAAATAGGAGCTTTCAGTCAAAGTGAAGATTTCTGGGTAGAGCGGGAACAGCAGGGGTGAGGTAGGCAGCGTTTCTGGGAGACAAGGGTGTCCCCTGGGTGGGGCAGTCCTGTCTGAAGTCTGTTTCACCTTGTGCTCTTGCCTCTGCACGCACATGGCTGAATAGCAGCCTGCTGGTGCAGCTTGGGATGTGGAGTTTTGTTTCTTGTGTCTGCTGGACGATTAGACCTAAGTGCGTGTCACTCTTTTCATTTCCAGGGTTTGCATCTACACTGGTCTGCTTATAATAAACTGTGCCTGGGAACTTCAGCATAGTGTAAAATATCAAAGCAACATAAGACTACTAGCATAATTTTGAGCCAAATTTGAAGTAAACTTTAATTAAATACTGGCCAGTGGACTCTGACTAGATCTATTCCAGAGTTCCCAGAAAATGGCCATGAGTTGTGTTGCCTGGGTGCTTTTGGTTGATGAGACAGGGTTTCTCTATGTAGACCAGGCTGGTCTTGAATTCAAACATATCATCCTGCCTCTGTCCTGAATGCTGGGATTAAAGGTGGGTACCACCACCACCCGGCTGACCAGGTACTTACAAGACAAACCCACAAGGCTACTTACTGTTTGCCCGCATGCTGAGGTACTCCCTGCTTGCATACCTCCTGCCTATGTGTGACCAAGCACATTGGGTGCAGCTGGGTCAACCAAAGTTGTTTAGGGGAGTGAAAACTTGGCTTGTTATCTTACATGGACAGCAGCCTCTAACATCTCAGAAGCATCTGGCCTTGGGTAAGGGGCTTACAGGTTAGAGGCATTTTTGTTTTATGTATCTCTTAGGCACAGTAATTAAAACATAACTTTGGCTCTCACAGTAAGAAAGTTGGATAACTTTCCTCTGGTGGTTACGGGCAGCCATTGTACCTGCTCTGCCTTAGAGTGCAGGTGAGAAATCTAATGACTTAGAATCTAGGTTGTTCATCACTTCTGTTCTTATTTGGGATGCATGCCTTACATGTGATGACTTATGTGTAATGTTCAATTCATTCTGCATAGTCATAGTAAGAAGTTTCATCTCTTTTATTCCAGAGAGTTCCTTCCTGTTCCTTGATAAGCAATTCTCTTTTAACCCACCCGTGCTCTTTCTACCACATAAGTTAATTCAGCTGTTTTCAGTCTTGACTGTAGTGGCTCACTGTTGTTATCATGACTGTGACACTGTCTTTAGGCACAGTGCTCTGATTTGCTGTGTCACTGCCCTGCAAGTGTATATTGGAGATGTATGTCTGTTCTCACCTAGAGCTGTCACTGTACGACACTTATTGGTTTTGTTTGTTCTATTTGTGTATCCAGTTGTTTCACCCTTTAGATCACATTGGTACAGGTTGGCTCTGATACCCCTCACTGCTCCTTAAGTGGGGATTAAGCAATCTGTTGTGACATCTGTGGTGAAATGATGTGATTTGTGGTTCGGCCAGTTTCAGTGATTCACAATTTTGCTCTTCTTACCTTTCTGCTCTTGAGGAAAGATTGTCCAGTGCTCTAGGTCCAGGAGACTGCGTCCCGGGATGCCTCTTTCTAGTGCTTAGCTTGATGGTGACATCTCCATCCCTGTCTTTCAGGCCAAACTTCCAGATTTGCAACCGTTTCCTTCTCCAGATGGTGATACTGTGACTCCACATGAGGAACTCGTCTGGATGCCTGGCGTCAGTGACTGTGACCTCCTCATGTACTTGAGGGCAGCAAGGTAATGGAATTGCCCCAGCTGTTTCTCTGAATGAGGACATAGGGACTGACAAGTGTCAGCACAATGTCTCCCTTCCCTCCTTAGTAGTGAGGGCTGCTTTCATCTCTGGTGGCCCTTCTTACCTGACAGGCAGCCTGCCGTTTTTTTTCTTCTTGAGATTTGCCTCACATCAGACTTCAGAACCCCTCAGAAGGAGCACCTTCAGCCACACATGTATTTTTCAGCACCTTACACTGCAGTTGAGTGAGTTATTCACCTTAGCTTACAGTTACACTACTGAGTTCCTGCTCTCTGTGCTCATTAGTATCTCACAAGCTTGACATTTGTATGGCTTCCCTACATGGGAACATTTATCTGTGGTTATCCTATAGAACTTTCGAATATACAAATGACAAAGATGAAAATAGAAATTTGAGTCCCTTCATGCCATAGTGCAGACAGAGCCTACCTTTGTCTGGAGTAATTTTGGGGGACTCACAGCAGCCTCATCTGTGTGCAGTAGCAAAAACTGAAGTGCACACCTTGGCTGTTTGTAATCCATAGTGCTTTGCACACAGTCGATATGAGATGAATGTGATGGGGTAGGTGACTGAGTGTTTTTTCCTGTTCTGTTACTTTTCATTTTTAGTTCATTGAAAAGTAGTGGATACATAGATGAGAGAAATTAATTTCATCTGTTTTCTGGGGACTTAAAAATTTTAATTAATGTATGATAATAGTGAATATGGGTACCTTCAAATACCATAACCCAGTGGAATACCATGGAAGTGGATCACTCATGTGCTCAAATTTGAAATGTTAGTATGAGCAAACCAGGAGAGCTAACATGGACCCACTGTAAGTCACACTTCCTTCCCAAGGGAGGAAGGGTTGGACTTGAGGCAGGGCTGAGACTGACATGATGTACATGTATTAGTGGGATCTTGACTGAAAGTGAGCTTGCAAACTGGGGGTTAAAAGTCCCCCTGTGTGTGGATGTTGATGTGCACTGATGAAGGAAACTCCATCCTTTCCCCAAAGGAGCATGGCAGCATTTGCAGGCATGTGTGATGGCGGCTCGACAGAGGACGGCTGTGTCGCAGCATCTCGGGACGACACCACTCTCAACGCACTGAACACAGTAAGTCTCAGGAGGTCACCTTAGAGAGCTTAGAATGGTGCTATGGTGTTACAGGATTTAAAAATGAACTGTGACTGCAGTTCAGAGTACTTGCTAGTCTTTCCAACTTTGAGAGTCCCTCTTGTAACTTCCAGGCACCCACACATACAACACACACTCTCATATACACAGTTTATATATAAAAATTAAATCACATAAGTACACATAAACAGAAAATTAGCAAAAGAATAGTAGGGGCTGGTGAATTGGCTCAGCATTGCTTCTCCCTTAGAGAAGCTGTGTTCAGTTCCCCACACTGCCATGGCTTCTCACAGCTGCCACCTGGAACTGCGGTTACCCACGCATGCGCATACACACGGTCTTGGCCATTGCTCTCCAAGATTCTAGGGAGAATCTCCTCCTCTAGGTTTGTATGTTAATCTGTGAACCTCAAGATTGTGAGGAGCTTCAAATGAGTTCCTAATACCCAACATCTTTACTAGAACCTGTATTTGGATGCTGTATGCACGGATGATCTATGTCATCCTCAGAGTACCCACTGCAGGACATTCTGCTACTGTTACCTTAAAAAACGGAAACAAGCCAGGTGTGGTACCTCAGTCCTTTAATCCCAGCACGCAGGAGGCAGAGACAGAGGCAGACGGATCTCTGAGTTTGAGGTCAGCCTGGTCTACAGAGTGAGTTCCAGGACAGCTAGGACTACACAGAGAAGCTCTATCTCAAATAAACCAAACCAAAATAAAACAAAAAATCCAAAATGCCTATTTATTTTGTGAGGAAGGAGGAACATGCCACTTTTTGCACTGTAGAAATCAGAGGGCGTCTTGCAAGAGTCATTTCTTTCCTTTTGCCATGTTGATTCCTAGGATCAAAAGCTCAAAAACTTAGTAGCAAGTTCTCTGAGCTGTTGAGCTGTCTTCCTGTCTCCTCAGGAGAGGCTTCCCTGAGCAGGAGTTGAACCCGAGCCACAGCAATGAAAATAACTTTAGAATGATCAAATCATAATCTAAGGTTATGTGAACAAGATTTGAGTATAGCACCATACTTTATCTTTTCCACTGGTCTGAAATAATGTATTTGAGTTGGCTCAGCAGTGAAGAGTATGTATTGCTCTTCCAGAGGACCCGAGTTCAGTTCTCAGCAGCCAAGTCTGGCAGCTCACAATTTGTAGGTTTCTGAGATTCTGGACAAATGGCTAGCTGAGGTGCCTGGTAACACATCAGAGTCATGCTGGCTAAGTCTTCATCAGCATCCCTCCGTACCTGCTGCTCCTCTCAGCACTTCTTATGCTGCCCAACCTTGAATCTCTCCTTCCCAGGGGCCAAGCTTCAGCTTCCTTCCTTCCTCTAGCCTGATCCCTGAATAACTCAGCCATTGGCTGTGCGCTCTCTTGGACTCTTGGCCCAGGCTACCCCTCCATGGTGGCTTCTCTCTTGCTTTCCCTCCCTGTCTCTCTTCCCATGGTCTGGTTTTGTCTGCCAGCTGTGTTCGGCCTGGACTCTTCTTCTGCTGCCTTCTTCCATATAGCTACAGGAAAAATCTTCTTCCTACTTTAGGACTAGTCATGTCCTCCTACTTTTATTTCATTTTTTTATTCAACAATCATCTGTAACTTGGCCCCATAAGAATTTCTCTGACTATCTGTGCAAAATACAATGATATGCACATATCTGCTCTCCCTAATAACTAAAAATAAATTTAATAAATAAACAAAATCATGTATTTGAAAGTTCGTGAGTGCTGGCATGTGGCTTATACCCGTAATCTTGGGCTTAGGGGGCAGAAGCAAGGGGATGCTGTGAGTTAAAGGCCAGCCTGGTCTATGTGGAACAATCCTGTCTTAAGAAAACAAAACGAAAAATGAAAGAAGTGAAATGAGATATGTGAATCTAACCAGGTGGAAGTGCTTATAAGAGAAGTTGCTTTAGTCCTGTGAGGTCTGCACAATGGTTCAGAAGTAACAGCACTCACTCTGCTACCAACAGTGTGCCTGCTGGGGCCACTGCATTGCTCCTGGTTTTGTTTTTGTTTTTGTCCAGGCTGGACTCAAACCCACAGAGATCCACCTGCCTCTGCCTCCCATGTGCTGGGATTAAAGGTGTGCACCACCATTGCCTGGCTCTGTTTGTTAATATTTTTGTTAAAGAACATATATGTGTTTGTGGGGATACAAAGTATATTTTATGTTCATTTTTGTGTGACATTAGTGAGTCTGTAAAATCATTTTTCTTGTTGCTAAACATCTCCAAGAAGTCCTAGTAAAGTCATCAGACTCTAAATATTTATTCATGAATAGTTATTTAAAATTAAGTAGGGGCCGGGCGATGGTGGCACACACCTTTAACTCCAGCACTCAGGAGGCAGTGGCAGGGTTCAAGACCAGCCTAGTCTGCAAGAACTAGTTCCAGGACAGCCTCCAAAGCCACAGAGAAACTCTGTCTCAGGGGAAAGGAAAAAAAAAAAAAAAAAGAAAGAAAGGAATATTAAGTAGGGCCTGAGAGGTGCCTCAGGGGGTAGTTTGCTGCCAACTCCATGGCCTCAGTTTGATTCTTGGGGCCCATCCGGCAGAAGGAGAACGTGCTTCTGTAAGTGGAAGGACATTGACATCCAGACGGGTGTAGGCATATATGCCCACATAGCACACGCACTCTCTCTCTCTCTCTCTCTCTCTCTCTCTCTCTCTCTCTCTCTCACACACACACACACACACATAACGAATAAATAAAATTTAGCATCTTTAATTTTATAGAGGTTGGGGAGATGATGTGGCTTTACAGAGGACTTGCTGCTCTTCTGGAGCACCGGGTTTCCATCCCCAGCATCCAGCATCCACAGTGGGTAGTTCCTGTAATTAGCTCCTGGGAATTTGATGTCCTCTTCTGCTCGAAGGGTACCTGCACATGGGTGTACATGCACACAATACCTTTAACTGATGATAATAAAACTATCTAAAGAATAAAATTACAAGTGAACACAGGCCTAATCAGATTTTGTATTTCTTCATGTTGGTCAGCTTTGGTAATAGGTAAGCCTGTGTTTGTAAACATTTTGTCTATTTCCTCTGGTTTATAGAGTTAACTTTTCAATGACTATAGATTTTCTAATTATTGGCCTTTCTGTGTTTCCTGAGACCTTGAATTTGTTTTATCTGGATTACCCTAAATAGAGATTTATCAAAGTCAGCCTTTTTCAACAGTTAGGTTTTAGTTTTATTGTCGTTCCCCCGCCCCCATTAAACTTGTTTCCTTCCATCTGGAAGTTTAATTTGATGTATTTTCCTGCTTCCAAAAGTTGGGTGTTAAGTAACTGCTTTTATCACAAATTTTGATTTTCTTTTCCCTCTTTTGCTTTCATTACCTTGCTTTTCAAAATGCTTTTAAACCTTTTTTGGTATTTACTTGGCCTATGCAATATTTAGAATAAATTGTTTAATATCAAGATATTGTTGAGTTTGGAGCTTGGGCGGTGGTCATGACACCTTTAATCCCAGCACTCAGGGAAGTAGGTTGGATCTCTGTGAGTTCAGGGCCAGCCTGATTTACAGACTGAGCTCCAAGACAGCCAGGACTACATTCTCTTAGCCACTAATATCCGTCTAGGTCCAAGATTTCAATCTTTTGCAGTTTTCTGATGTGGCATATGATTTATATTGGCTAAAATGCTTCATGTTTTTAACTATCCCGTTATGTGGTGGGATTAAAATTGATGAGCCACCAAACCTGATAATCTGAGGGTTTGTCCCTGGTACCCATGGAGTAGGAGAGAACTAACCTCAGCATATTGTCCCTTGACTCAGAGTCTCATAACTGGTAACTATATAATCAGCACAGTATACAAGATCTACATAATATTTGCCATTTCAGCATTTACGTTACCTACTCTTTAGCCTCTGTTCATTTTTACAGCATGTTTTTGCGGTGGTAGTGTTTGGCACATGGGCCTTTGTACTGTTTGCGTATTGGCTCTTGCACCTTTGAGGGGTGGGCCCTTTGTGTTCAGTAATAGATTTTGTCTTAAGTCTCTTGTGTTGGATGCTCTCATAGGCCCTCCAGCTTTTTCTTCTTCTCTGTTTCCATCTTAGTCTTGCCTCTTTCCTTTGGAAGTACTCACTTGTTTTCTGTGTTTCTGTTGTTCTCATCTGACTGTGCAGGCTTGACTGTCTTTTTTTTTTTTTCTTAGAATATTTAGCTTGCTTAAATATAATGCAACTCTAAAGCTCAAGCCATGTGTAAAGCTTTCATTATTGTTTGTTTTCTTTGCTTGTTGGTTGATTTATTTGGGGTGTTTTTAAGACAGAGTCCATTGTATAGCCCGCCTGGCATGGAATTTGCTAGGTTGCCTGGGCTAGCCTGTCATCTCTGTCACCCAAATATTGGGGTTACAGGTGTGAGTCACCATGTGCTGCTTATAACGTTTACAATGTAATGTGGGATTGCTAGGTTACCATGTTATCTTTAGAAACGTTTCCATGTGGATCCAACATTGAGTGCAGGTGGCCCAGGTGCGCCTGTGCCATCGCCTGGTAAGTAAGTAACTGGTGCACTTAATGCGGCAACCCAGAGCAGTCTTCCTATCCTCATAGCTTTGATTTGGCCATCTCTGCTGGCTGCCCATTTACAAAACAGATCTTACATTATGTTGAATTAGTTTTTACTAATCAATACTGTATTTCACTTTTGGGGCTCAGTTTTCTTCCATTAATAAAATTAAACCTGACTTCTCTGAGTAATTGTTGCCATTTTTGTGTTTACCTTTTCTTTCAGCACTCAGCATGTGATTGGTTTTTACTTTTATAGGTAAAATTTATAATCATGAAGAAGACATTGCACCTCAACCCATACAGCTTTATTCCCTGAAATATGGGTGGCTGTTAGATTTGAATCAAGCTTTTTACATACTCAAGAGTGTGTGTTTATTTGCTTATTTATTTATGTACACCCACATCTCCAACAAAAGATTCAAAGTTCCCTGTAGTTGACTGATTTTTCATCTCTGATTGG